AGAGGAAAGAAGAACCAAGCTCTATTTTCCAGAGACAGCGTGTGGATGCCTTACTTTTAGATCTCAGACAAAAATTTCCACCTAAATTTGTACAGCAAAAGTCTGGAGAAAAACCTGTCCCAGTGGATCAAACAAAGAAAGATCTAGAACCTTTACCGGAAGCTGTCAAATCTGATGAGAAAGAGACTACCGAGCATACCCAACAGACAGTAAGCACAAAAGGCCCCCCTGAGAAACGGATGAGACTCCAGTGAGTTTTAGAAGAGAAGCTATCAAGACTTGTCTACTACCTTACCTCATTTCTGTGGCTAGCTCATAAACTTTTAAGCTTTGACATGTTTTTTAAACAGCTTTCTCCTTTGTATTATTTGTTTCCTTTGTGAATATTTCTTGTGTATCTTTATGTAGTCTTTAGGCTGTTGGACTTGTTCAGCCTGCACCACTTAAATGTACCATATTATATATGTGTGTAAAAACAAAATAAAGTTTTTTGCATATGTTGCTTTTTAATGTCTTCTCCCCTCACCCTCTTTTCTGCTCTTTCTGAATTATTTCCAGCTTGATTTCTTGAATTTATAGATTAACATAAGTAACAACATACTTCTTCTATTAGTAACATATTCTCCATTATTAAAATAATAAATGGTTACTGACAACTTGAAAAAGAAACACTTACGCATCACTCTACAAATACTATCATTTTATGAATAATGTAACAGTGCTATAAATGTTTTTTCTTTTTGTACAAGTAGACACTTTTTAAAACTCTTTTGAAATAACTCTCTTCCTATAGTTTTTCTTTCTCATATTATGTTTGTTGTAAGCATTTTCACGTGTTTACATAATTTTTCTTTTTTGTTTCTAACCCTAACCCTATGTTTACATCATTTTTATAAACTCTGTGTTACAGTGCTGAATAATTTAATATAATTACACCATAGTTTTCTTAAAACTTGCCCTGTGGTATATTTTGGTTTTCCCCATTTTTAGTAAGAAAAGCTGTAATAATTATATTTACTTATAGTGAATATTTAATATTTAGTATTTTTTACTATAAAATCTCAGAAGTGCATTTTCTGTGCATTCTTACTGCTTAGTGCATATTGCCAAGTTGTATAGATAAAAGAATCTGGACCAACTATCACAGGCTATTAGGAAAGTGTCCAGCCCTCCAGAACTTTGCTACTACCCAGTATTTGAATTTATACCTTTCATGCTACTTAATTAGGAAAAACCTGCTTTTTTTAAAATTTTTTTTTATTTTATTTTATTATTATTTTGTGTGTCTGTGTACCGTCAAATCAGATCTGACTGGTACAGGAGGAGATTGTCCCTCCTTTCCCGGCAGAGCATCTGGTGGATTCGAACCATGCGCCTCTGGGATTGCAGTGCAGCTTCTTGCCACTAGGCCAACAGAGCTCTCCAAAACCTGCTTTTAAATGGCTGAACAATTTTTCCTTTTTATTTTCTAACTTTATGAAGTATCTTATTTTCTACAGTCATTCACTCATTCCATGGCCATTGATTCAGAACCAACTCATAGCTGACCCTCCAGTGGGATTTTGGAAATTGTAAATCAAGCAGGATCTAGTTGAAGTTTGTGATAGTGTGCCAGAATGTACCAAAAAATTTGGAAGAGCTGCCTGGCTAACTAACTGGAAGAGATCACTGTTTATTCCCATTCCTAAGAAAGATGATCCAACAGAATGTCAAAATTACCAAACAGTATCAGTATCTCATACAAGCAATATACTGCGGATGAGCATTCAAAAACAGCTAGAAAATTTCACTGAAAGATAATTGCCATAAGTGCAAGCTGGGTTTAACAGAGGCTGTGGCACCAGGGATGTCATTGCTAATGTCAGGTGGATCATACCTGAAAGTAAAAAAATACACTAAGTATGTCTGCTTTACTTTATTGACTATGTGAAAGTGTTTGACTGTGTGAATCATAACAGGCTATGGCTAACATTGAGAAGAATGGACATTCCAGCACACTTAATACTGCTCATGTGAAACCTAGATCTAGGCCAGGGAAGGAGTTGTGTGAACAGAGCAGAGAAATTACTTTGTTGTTGTTATGTGCCGTCGAGTCGTTTC